CCTGGCCCAGCTATCGAGTCCGAGCCTCGGCCGACCGGTACGCCGATCTGTGCCGAGGCTCGGACTACTGGGGGCAGGCATCCCGAACGTCGGCCTGAAAGGTACGAAAAAAACGGGAAAAGAAAAACAAAACGGGAAAAAAAAAACGAAAAAAAATAAATAAATAAGAAAAACGAACGGGTTCATTCCCGCTTTGCGTCGGACATTCCCTCTTCCCCAGAGACCGAGAGAGAGAGAGAGGGAGGGGCGGCGACCTGCACATAGGGTCGCGGCAAACTCGCCACCCCTCTCTCTCTCAGGAATGCATCTCCCCACGATAGGGGGAAGATGCATTCCCGTTTCGTTTTTCAAAACGACACTCTCTCTCTCTCTCTCTCTCTCTCTCTCTCTCTCTCTCTCTCTCGTTTCGAAAAACGAAACGGGAATGCATCTTCCCGCGGATGGCTGGAAGATGCATTCCCGTTTCATTTTTCAAAACGATAGAGAGAGAGAGAGGGGCGGCGACACGCACGGACACCCAACTCGCCGCCCCTCTCTCTCTCTCTCTCTCTGGATTCGAGAAACAAAATGGGAATGCATCTTTCCCACGATAGCAGGAATTCCCGTCTCGCTTTGCAAAACGAGACTCTCTCTCTCTCTCTCTCTCTCTCTCCCGCGCAACTTTCCTTCTGTGTATTTCTTTTTTTTTTCGTTTGTGTATTTCATTTTTTTTCCCTCTTTTTTTTTCTCTCTATCGTGTCCTCCCTTCAGAAGCGGGGCCCGGATTTCTGGCTACGACCGGGCCTTCCCTTGGCCGACCCCCCTAAGGCTGCGGAGCGTATACGGGAAGGCCCGCGGCCGATAGCTGAGCGAGGTACTGGTGGTTTAAGCCAAGTTTCGGGATCCTTGACCCCATTGCGGTAGCGTTGAGGTTATTAGATCACTCAGTTCCGTAAGGCTTTGTGATTTTTTTTCTCATTTTGTTTTTTTCTTTCTATATTCTTCTCTCAACTTCTGCTTTTGCCTTTCACTACCTACTCCTAAGGCTATCTAGAGGGGACCCCTGCAAGCATAGTTTCCTCTCACTGTGATTTTTTATGTTTTCGTTGTACATGTGTTATCATATCATCAACTTGCTAGGTATCGTAGTGTAAAATATATATATCGTCACAAATAGAACTGCCCAGTAAACCATAGGCAGAGAGAGAGAAGAGGACAACAAACAAGGGGATATATATATGACGAGTCGGTGAAACTCCAACGAAACAGTTTGTCACAGCCCCTTGTTTGTTGTCCTCTTCTCCCCCTCCGCCTATGGTTTACCGGGCAGTTCTATTTGTGACGATATATATATCGTCACAAACATACATATATAGATATATATATATATATATATATATATACAAAAAACAGGTTTCGTAGAGTAATTGATACAAGACTAGAATAGCAAAAAAGAAAAAAAAAGACTAGATATCCCATGAACAAAGGCGCGCGAGTTATATAATTTATTTATTTATTTATTTTTTCTGGCGGTACTACGCGGATGGTTAATGGTTTGAAACTCTGTGTGATGAAAGGCTTGGACTCTTTTCAGTCTAGTAGCTTCGAACTTAGCATTACTCGATTTTACCCGGTCGTGGATTTTATCTACGGTGTGCGAGTCTTGCTATTCTTGGTACGCATGGTTTAATAAATAGACAGATAATTGAATAGTTAGACACCTTCCGCAATCAGAAGAGACCCTTGAGTGACGGTGGCGGCCGGCCGAACCTAGTCGGGTTCTTAACCACCTGTACATCATTGTGAGATTTTTCGAAACTCACGTCACGTTCGGGACTTATTACCCTTTCGTACCATTCCTCTGCTTCTTCTTCTCTCCCTTCCTTTTGTTGACCCTCCCTTCTCTTTCTCTCACATCTCTGCCTTTCTCAGTGGTGAGCTGTTATATGCATGTGGTACTCACGTTTACGTTCACAGTTTGGCACGCGGCTGTTGGCATTTTTACTGTGATTAGACAACACGAGCGACCAAATTCATCAGAGTAGAAACGTTTCTACTCTATTTTTCTTCCGCGGCCAAGGCAATAGCTTTTTGGCCAACTACTGGTGAAACCGGTAGGGTAGTCTCGCCTAAGCGGAATTTTTTTTCCGCCATTGTTAAAAAAATAATTTCCGTTATACCTGATTGTTATATTCTTAACCGGTCGTGTTCGGGTTTTTCGGAGGCTACGCCTTGGTTCTCTCTACTGTGTGTTCGTTTGTTTGATCCGGAGGCTACGCCTTGGTTCTCTCTACTGTGTGTTCGTTTGTTTGATCACGCTGACGGATCTCTATTGAGTGTTCTACTCGTTTTTTCTCAAGTATCTGTACAAGTACTGGTGGTTTAAGACTGCGAGGGCAGCTGTTACTAGGATATTCTCATCCGATGGCCAATTACGGTGACATCTTTTTACCCGACGGGTTTTTACGGTCGACAAAAGCATTTCACCTGACATCTTCTACGGTCGACACAGCTTTTTTACGGTGGACACAGCTTTTCACCAAACAACAACTTTTTACGGTGGACAGCTTTTAACCTTGCTAGTCAGTGATTTTGATCTCCGGGGTGAGTTCTTACCTCGTTATATCGCGCGCACACACACAAACACACACATCACCGACTGGTAATTGAACCTTCGACCTTCTCCGTTCTTTATTTGGGGGATGATGGGCATCGCGTATAGATAACGATTCTGATAACACAGTGCGTCATCATGCTCGCACTCAGAAGACGACGCCACTCATCTCTGTAGCACTCTGATTTTAACCGATGTCCCACAATATGCTTTTCATTTCCCCTGTAGCACGTTTTTTTTAAGATTTATTCAAACATAAGCGGGGCTCTCCGATGAATACTACCMCCAAGTTCAAAAAAAAAAAAAAAGGTATTACGAAGTCTTACAAGCCGAGAAACGGAACCGTCGTCGAAATTTCTATAGAAACTACAAAGCTTTTGCAACCGGGGACGAGGCATCGTACCATTTTTCAAAATCTCTCGTTTAAAAACAATACGTCTCTCTCATATCATCATTAGAATTCCACAACAGGAAGGAGAACGCGTCAAAACGTTTCGAACAGGAAGGCGGCGTAACCGAGCCACCCACCAATTCAGCCACATCAAGTCATCCGCGTGTTCATCTTCCGAGGGGCAAACTACTTGCCGCCCGAGAGATCCTACATGAGAAACGACGATAGCCGCCGGTGGGTCCATCAATGCCAGTGGAGAGAAGGGGGTCCATCAATGCCAGTGGACAGAAGGGTCCATCGATGGCAGAGGACAGATGGGTCCATCAATGCCATCAATGGCAGTGGACATAAGGGTCCATCAATGCCAGTGGAGAGAAGGGTCCATCAATGCCAGTGGACAGAAGGGTCCATTAATGACATCAATGGCAGTGGACATACGGGTCCATCAATGCCAGTGGACAGAAGGGGGTCCATCAATGCCAGTGGAGAGGGGTACATCGTCAGTGGACAGAAGGTCCATCAATGGCAGTGGAGAGAAGCGTCCATCAATGGCAGTGGAGAGAAGGCTGAGTTATGAACCGCCTCCAGACGGTCAAGAAAACTGTTGGTGCGCTCTTCCCCGTTACTTCATATCTATTCTTTCTTTTTTTTTGTTTGTCTTCTTCTTGACCAGTCCTCGATTCAGCGCGTCCTCCTTTGCGTAGGGATCATGCTCATCTCCTGTGTGTACCGTTCCTATTCAAACGAACGTCCTGATCTCTTTTCTTTCGTTGGCGACCAACCAATCACCAACACCACATCAAGCTGATACTCTTTTTCCGCTAATGACCGTCAGCCTACAGTTCTTTTTGCCTCGATCATATTTGTTTGCATACCACTCGTATAATGTGCAAGATTGCCAGCGCCTGGTGGCTCGTCTCTGAGTGTGCAAACGTTCTTATACATCATCGTTACAAGCTGTTCTGTTTTGTTTTTTGGCTCCTTTTTGTAAGCCGGATTCAGGAGTACGACGACCTACATAACACATCACGTTCATATACAGACGTAGAGTCGTCAAAATCGTGTTTTCACTTGGCAGTGCTCTACATGAAATTCCGAACGTGTCACCGACCTTGTACCCCTCTGCTTGCATGCTGCGGTGGCAACCAACGCGCCCGGCTTAGCCGGGGCACACCCACAACAGCAGCTGCGGTGGCGACCAACGGGCCCGGCTTAGTCGGTACACAACCACAAACTGTTGAAATGTTGGCTGGCCTTTTGCGTTCTCAAGTCCAGATGGAACCACATCAACGAATTTCCTCACACCGAAAAACTGTTCACGATGGTGAACGAGAAAAACGAAAATTGTGGTGCCTTGGAAATGTCGTGTAGAGAAGCGAGCTCGACGTGGACTGTTGACCTTATGCCTGAAATCAGCAAATGACACATTCATCAGAAACGTTTTCGGTTACTTGCGGCAGATTGCTTGCATCAAAAAACGTTTTTGCTTCCAGCTATAGATGTCAACCAGTTGGAAGCACCCTATTGAACTCGAATCAGTTTATTTTCTTGCGCTTTCGATAGTCTGGTTTGTCACAGCGGAAAAGAGAAGAATGCGTTTTTGTTTGATGTTCACTTGCCATGGTTTCCCGTACGCAATGTCGATCAGAAGTCAACGAAAAAGTCTTTAACCAAAAGTATACGACCAAAGGAGGCGAGATACTGTTGGGACGACGGTCATCCGCACCCTATTGAACTCGCATCAGTTTATTTTCTTGCGCTTTCGAAAGTCTGGTTTGTCACAGCGAGAAAGAGGAGAACGCGTTTGCTTAATGTTCACTAGCCATCGTTTCCCGTACGCAATGTCGATCAGAAGTCAAACGAAAAGAAAACGAACAAAGGAGACGATACTGATCGGACGACGGTCATCCGCCGCCCACTGATTCAAGGAACGGAAGAGGCTCTAACTTCGTTCTTTTTTTTTTGGTCGAACGATGCGACGGCCTTAAGATATCACAGTGCAACTAATCGACCCCTTAAATTCAGCAAATTTTATTTATCTACGTCCCCGTGCATCGAAATTCCTACCCCCTCCCCTGTCCGCGTCTTTGTGGGTGTGGCGAAAGAGACTTCGACAGGGGAGGGGGTAGGAATTTCGAATTGCCCTGGACGGGCAATTCCGTGCCGTTAATACTACGAGGGAAATTCTGAAGCTATCAGAGAGAGATGACAGAAAATACAGCGTAGGAATTACAGTACCAGTCGAAGGAGGTGGAGGGACTTCTCCCTCTATGGTCGGACGGAGGGACTTCTCCCTCTATGATCGAAATGCGGCGGGTGCATACTTGTGTTTAAACATTCCTTAATAACCACATCTGCAAAAACAGCGTCCGCATCGTATTTGGCTAAATCACTACTCAATTTTCAAGTTTTGAATTGTTTTCGTAATTTGAGAATTCGACTTGAGCAGTCACTTCTTCACGAACTCCGTCTTGGACAAAGCTGCTCAGGAAACGAGTTCCTTCCGTTATTCCTTCTCTCCTTTGCACAACATGTGTTTTCAATCTTCTTCTATCAGTGCTTTATGCAGCCGTGTTCATTCACCTGAATAAACCTCCCGGGGTCATTATCAAGGTCTCTAAGCTGACAGTTGCAGCACCAAAAACAGATGTAATGCCCAAGCATTCGGGTCAAAACCCTTCGTCAAAAAACTAAGCCCCGACTCTCAGATATTAAACCACCAGTACCTACCGCATTTTCCGTACCCCCCGGGATCGAATTGATATGGACCCAAGGGGCAGACCAAAGAGGCTACAGCGTTAACGGCAACACAAACCAGTGGGTACTGGTCGTTTAATTTTCACTCCCCCTCTCATAAACTTCCACCTGCACACCAGACAATTATCTAATAAATTTAGCCCTGCTTTCGCAACTGTGTTGAAACGCTCGCCCCCTACTCACCCCCCTCCGCCGCCTACTCACCCCCCTCCGCTCCGCCCCTTGCGCACCCCCTCCGCCCCCTACTCACCTCCCTCCGCCCGCTTCCAGCCGATTCTGACCGGTGAGCAGCCGTTCAACCTTCTGCCCGGCAGATGGGAGCGTGCACTTCCATCCATCGTCGGCAGCAAGTACGGATCCTGTGAGTCAACCAGGACAGAACGTGGCTCCCCGCCCCAACAGTCTTCCTAGCCGCTTACGGGGGGGTACCCGTAGGGTCGCAAGGAGAAGTGCAAGAAGACCAAAAGAGGAACGAGAAGGCGAGAGATTTAGGAGCCCAGCCCCGTGGCAAGAAGGAAAATGAAGGAAGACCAAAACAGAGTGAGAGAGCGGGATGGTCAGCCGCAGACAGAGCCTTACATCAATCCCAAGGCACAACATTGGAGTTTGGATACTATGGATATACACGTAGATATGCCTACTAGCGGGCAGCACTGTTTGAATATATATATATATAGGCAAACAGAGCTGTGGACGGTAAACCGTACTAGACAGAGAGGAGAAGAGGACAACAAACAAACAAGGGGCTGTGACGAATTGTTTCGTCGGAGATGATAGATATATCGTCAAACAGAATTGCCATGTAAACCATAGTAGAGGCAGAGAAGGAGAAAAGAAGGCAATCAAAACCATGGCATGTACCAAAATTGCAGGCGAGAGAAAAAATTCCGGTCTCGAATGTTTCGATTTGAAATAAAACAAAACAAATCGCAAGATGATCTCCTCAAGTACAAGCCTCTCTTCAGAAACCCTGCCACAGCAAGCGCTCAACGCGCATGATGAAATACGACCTCGCTCAACTCAAAAAAGTCAAAGACCTCGACCATTTCCGACCCAGCATGCTATCCTCAAGGCACCCGCAGAAGCCTCCACCCGCAGACGTCATCGCCCGATCTCTACTCTTCGTCCTCTTCCTCCTCCTCGTCGTCTTCATCGTCCTGCTGAAGAGCCTTCAGCCTTTCCACCAATCTCGCCTTCTTCTCGGCGTGCGTGAGCTTGCGTGGTTTCCAGCTGCACAACGTTCAACAAAGAGAAGGAACGCAAAGTCATCAGATTGGAACTGACGTCCCCCACGTGCAATCTACCACTAATTCACCTGCCCTCTTCAATTACAATCAACACATCCGAATAAAAAATAACATCATAACAAACACTTCCAAACATTCTCCATAAAAAAAAACGACCGCTAAATCAGTTTCCCATGGGAATACTCAGAGAACAAAAATCCTTGCCACTCCCAATGCATCATTCGAAAACAAGCTGACCGATCGCAGTATACTCGTGTACAATGGTCCAACGACGAGATAACAACCTATGCTAGAGATTTGGAAGATCTCTGTCCTATCCTTTAGACGATGGGCGTTATAAACGATATAATACGATAGACAATATATGAATAAATATATCATAATGAATAGATGATATACATATGAAATACACTCACAGAGTAATTGGAGATACCACAAGCGACTACCGTATAACCTAATTGGCTACAAGTACACTTCCAACCAAACTATATACAAACTGCCGACTGCGATCGTTCTTTATCAGGAAACAAAATCGAAAGGATGGATAAAAAAAAGAAACATAGGTAGATGGAAACAACGGGCCCGACTCGGTTGGTACACCCACCCATGAACTGTCAAGGTATTGAAAAGAAACACTTCGAATTCGGATGCAATTAGATGTTACTGAAAGAAGAAAAAAAACACAAGGACAGGAGGGGAGAAAAGCAAAAGGGAGAAGGGCAAAAGAGAGAGAGAGGAGCGTACGTGGTAATCTTGGCCGGCTTCTTCTTGACGGTCAGCTTCGCTGCAGGATCCGCCCGGATGGCATCGTGCACGCTCTTGTACATCGCTTCCATCTTCTCTGGCTCAATACCCTCCTTGATGTAGTGGGAGAAATGAGCGGCATACTTCTCCGGCTGCTCTTCACGGAGGTTCTTCATGTACTCAGCTACGTGCTGACCGAAAATATACCGGCGATGCTTCTCTGCATCCAAGGACTTGTCCTCCTTGTTATAACCAGCGAAACGCTTCTCGCTGTGGGGAATGTCAAGACCGCCATCGAGAGCACCCTACAATTCAAATCCGCAAGTGACAAAACAAAGCATTACAAATACTCTTCCAGCAAAAACATCGGTGCTCCTCAAAAGATCTTACAACGACGAACGTTTAAAAACTCACAAAAAGACTCAGAAAAAGTACAAAAAGTGAGTGACACGAGCAGAAGAAACAAAATGGGAGTGACGAGCAAAACACTGATGCTAACACTGACGCTTCCATACGCTTTTCGTCGAACAACAGCGAGGAACGTTTCAAAAGGCTCAGAAAACACATCAATAGTAACACATTCGCATCCAATCAACAAACATTAAATACTCGAGATCTAATGCGTACAGCCTTCGTCAAAAATTACGAGGAAGATTTCGAAAGGATAGAAAAGTAGTTGAGGGAAGGACGAGCAAAACACATTGATGGTAAACACTTCCACATCTGGTCAACCGAGGAAAATAACAGCCGTATGATTCCGTTGGAGATTTAATATTAATTCTGATGTAGCTAACAGCAATCTCAACATTTTTTGAACCAAATTGTCAGGGATTACAAAACTCCCCCGCTAAGTAGGACGTGACGATTTCGGTAAAGAAAACGCCGAAAAAAATTCGGCCAGGAAACGTCAAGTTTTTAATGTCTATAAGCGTTATCACCGAAACCGAGCGCTGATAATCTAGGGTTCGATCCGAACTGTCTCTTATTACTACGCCTGATCGCCTCATAGCTCTCTGTGTCAGGAGAGATTTTCAGTAAATAGATAACGACGGTATGAAGGACTACTAACATGACGACAATGACAACGAATCTGATGTTAGCAGGTGATATCAACACGATGAAAACATCGAGCACAATCGAAAAGCGTAATCTTTTTACCTTCAAGGCACCGAAACAACGGTTTCCGGTGGTGGTCCTGACAAGGCCGATGTCCAACAAAGCACGGAATGGGCGCCTCTCGTCTTCCGCGCTGACGTTGAAATCTTCTCCCACATTCTGGCATAAAAACCAACCAACCGCACAACGACGACGAGTGTCAAGAATGCCGTATTCCTTCGACAACAAGGTACTGTCGTTATGTCTGTATTTATGTCAACTTTCAGTCTAGCTACAGCGATCATTACCGTCCGCTCTATTTGCGGTACAACGAGCATACACAACAACAAAACCTAAGGAGCATAACAACCGCGTCGTTTAGACTGACTTAGATGACATGCTGCGCCGTTCAGAAAGAGGCGAAGGTCTCTTCCTGTTCTTTTTTTTCGTCCAGAAAATGCCGCCACGCTATTATTACGTTACGAGAATATATACCCGACTCCCGTCTTCCTCCGAACACAACGCACCCTTATTTTGCCAGTATCTGTCCGTAAATATAGCTTGTCTACATTCATTTTTAGGGTGCGAAGACGGTAGTAGACTTTCTCACCAGCTGCAACGCAAAACCCTCGTGCCGCATGTGCTCGGTTGACACAAGTTCCATTTCCGACTTCCATAAAAACATAATCGAATTCATCCAATTCCTTCAACAATACACTTGCATCCGCATCCTCCAAACGGCATTCTCAAGATAACGTCGCGTCATTCCAGGCCGACACTTGGTCGACCGAAAAACACAATTTCATCCGCGGCAGATGGAAGGGCAGCAAATTGCAATCAATAGAGCAAACCTACCTGAGCTCACCTACTATGAAGGGCGCACAACCGATTGCTCAACTATTATTTATTAAAAAAAAAACGAAGGGACGAAGAGGACACGTCAAGCGCACACTGAACTTACCCCGTCGTTGTTGCCTGGATACATCTCGTCCATCTCATACTTGTTCAAAAGCCGCCGTGCCAACAAGAGTCCGGTACAATAAGCTGCAGTGAGAAACCACAGGACATCGACAAACATACAAGACGCATTGAGAGTCACAAACTGGATCACCGTAATCAATCAGTTGTCCATTTCGCTGAGCACCCAGTACAGCATCCTAATCAGTAGCTGTCGCAGTCCCTAAAAGACTCCACTAAGTCGAACACTAACCCCACACTTTCGTAGATTGGTGCAAAGATAACAACCCCTTGTCCCCTTTACGCACTAGTGGTGGATACTCAGGTCTTTTGAAAGTGCGCAAAATCACTCCATAGATAAGTAATAAGACTGGCATTCGTAAGAAAGATTTCTTGAAACATGACTAAAATTAACATTCAGACAAAGCTGAACAAAAGCACTGACAAACTCACACACATCGTCCCATCAACAACCATCAATGCCTGCAGAGTTACCTCACACACAACACACTCAGTATTTCAACTTACCTCAGACACGCTACGATATTCCATTGCTCATTGACAAAGAGATCGCTGACCATTCCGATTCCTGTATGCATGCTACCCCAAATCAATCCGACTCCATACCTCATTCGCCCCAAAACTCTAAAAACGAAACCGGTTAACTACGCGTTCGACCTAACGAGCCGCCTTTTAGCATAAATTACAATCGAGAACGCATTTGAATTCATCAACGGTCGACCGCATGTACAGAATCAACAGGACGGCCTTCAGAATGGAAACCGAATCATCGACTGCGATTCCTGCCCCTCCGGCATTCTTGTGTGACAGCCCCAGAAGGAGGTTCCACCGTTCGGTGCATCTCTGTTCAAGTCACGCAGCAGGCCCCTTCATGCCTCTGTTCAAGTCACGCAGTGGCCCCCTTCAGCCTACTTCAGCCCCCTTCGATGAAAACGTAGATGAAAAAATGCCAAAACACCTCTAGTCCCCACACCATGTGTTCTTTTCGAACTATTGAAATTGCCATTTCCCGCGGCGACGCCTTCATGCTTTGATAATTCGACGAGCGAGGACTTCAGAAATGACCGGCAGCGGCTAGTGGGGCTGGCGCCTTAGACTCCGCTCCTGATTTCTCTTCTTTCGGGAGAGATTTCAAAAAGCCGACAGTCGTACCCCTTTCCTGCTTCTCTTGCACTATTCACGACGATAAAGCTTTCTCAGTTCCACAATTCCTCCCCTACCAACAATCAACTTGTCGCGCTTTGCGGAAAATAAACCACCAGGTAGACCACAGCAACGACGCCGCCACGGGGATGAATCTTGCCACCATAAGTTTTCACATCTTTTCTAGACCGTGATGCACAATTTCATTATCACAGAGTAGCCCGCGGTAGGTCAGCACCAACATACTCGTCGCCGTGGAAATCGTTCTCAACGTGTGATTAACGTTGGCATTCTGTCTCCTTCCGTCTTTAGCCGGTGGGCTAAACAGGCCATCACCACTCCACCGCCATCGGCACCGGCATCAGCCGCCACATATCTCAATCCTCGTCACACAGCAAACTTCCGTCTTTGGCCGGTGGGGTAAACAAGCCATCACCACTCCACCGGCATCAGCCGCCAGATTTCTCAATGCTCGTCATACAGCAAAGAACGATATGCCCACGCAACACGCTTACCACCTTCGGCCGTCTTCGTCCGGAAGTTACAGCCAGAAACTTAGTGCCATTTAACGGGGTATTCAAGCATTTCATGTCACCGAGATCACAGCAGCCTCTCTCGCAAGAGCATACAATACCATGAGCTTACTCTTCCTTGGCTGCTGGATTAAAAAGACTTCGTTTCCTAACCAGATCGACCTTTCGCCGCAACTGCTGCTCTACCGTCTCACCTGTCGTCATCATCATCTTCCAATGACATGACAATCCCTTTCCAAATGTCCATCATCATCATCATCTTCATAATCATCACCATAAAAATGATGACTCCTTATGAGCCAGCCTTGCACGTACTCCAATTAAACAGTCGGCTAGGATCCCTTTCCTCTGGCAAGCATTTCCTTGCAAATGCGAATCGTTAAGAGCCAGGCTCCCACCTGCGCCCTTTACTACTTTCGCCTTCCCGACTACCGACGTACAACGCAACGCCCAGGTCCTCACTTTACAATCTTCACAAGAGAACGCACCCTAATCTCCCAACTCGCCGTGCTGTAAAATGTCTCGACATCACCGTCACGTACGTAGGTGTCCAAATCGCTTCAGACCGGCACTTCTGCTCTCCGAAGCATGATCTCGATGCCGAGCTTCATTTGATCGACTCTGACACTTCCGGAAGCATCAGATCTTTGCCTTTAGACCCCTCCACTTCTTAGTCTGGAGCCCGCGGCGAACTCCAACCTCACTCCATTCCTCATTTCCCCTTCGCGCTGAGTCTACTGTACCACATGCCCTCCCCCCAAGCCGAGCTCTACTCGGTCTTTTTCTTTCATCGAAACCCTATTCTTCGATGCGCGAAAACCATCCAACATAACAATACCACGTCACATCACGATATCAAGAGCTGCAAGAGAAACACGGATGAAAACAACATAGCAGTCCATATCTCACTCACCAGCAGCGTAATTGGTAAGGCCGACCTTCAAGCCGTACCGCGGGAGCTCATGCGAGTACGCAGCGGCAACAACGATATCTCCCGCAATCGTCGCATAAATGACTTGACAAGTGCAGTCCTTGTTTGTCTGTGTTCGAAATCCTGGTTAAGGATTAAACGAAGAAGAAGAAAGAAGATAAAGAAGAAGAATGACAAGCAATGGCCAATTGCTTCTGCACACACTCACTGAGAATCAACAACAAACCTTTCGCATATAACATGCTCAACCGCGCACGTTTCCCTCAACCGCATGTTTGAACCAGTTGGGCTACGGTTAGACGAGAGATTCCCAGAGTTCGATAAATTCTGCTATGGAACACAAAACTCCCTACGCATGTACTCGATTCGTTTCCTCAAGAGAAGCATATAGGACAATAGGAGGAAATCAGTGCACCACGGGCGCCGGGGGTTGGATTAGGGTTTCATTCGCAATGCAAAGAATTCAATCTTTCAATTGGTGTAGTTTCTGTTTCAGGCCCACACAGACGTTTTATCATGCACTGTTTGTTCACCTACTGCCAGATGGGAATTTGGCGATTCACAGACACTGCATCCAAAACAAATAAGGCAGCCATTCTCTCAACTTTTAAAAAATTCACACAGATCCTACATGTGCAAAAACGCAGCGCGCGAAATGCTATGCAAAACTGGCGGGAGAACTTGCTTCGAGATTACAACCCGTCTTTGCCCCAACACCACGCACCCCGATAATGAATGTATACAGTCCATTTCCCTGGACAGATACAGTCAACGAAAGGGAACATTGCTATCAATGGTACACGGTAGCCATGGAACCTGCTCAAAGCTCGCCTTCCGCTTCCAAAACCTGATTGTCAACTACAGTCCAGCCTTCCAACCACCCATCCTCCGACAGCGACCCACCCATTTCAAACCGCGGATTCTTTCGCGCACATTTTGATCACCCCCTCCTACACAGATCACGACATGACGGCCATACCAGCAGCATCGCTGGGAATGAAGCATTATTGGGGGTTACGTACTCCGCCTATACTGAGAAAGAGATAGGTTCAAAAGTTGAAGCGAGGAAATCGTCGAATACAGCAGCCCAGCCACTTTGGCACCTACTCTCAAACGATATTCACATCCCCACACGTATACTAGATCGGATCTGACATTCGTTATAAACACATGGACTACTGTTTTTCTCTGTATCTGCCCATCGATTAAGGACTCGAGAGAGAAAAATGGAGAAAGATTTATGTACATGTATGTATGATGAGCAGGATACAAATCGGACCGCCAAGCGGTACTTGGGCGTATTGTACTTGTTCTTGTCCTGGCAGACGAGACGTATTCTCGAGTGGTAGTCAGTCTTCCCCTCTGTACACCGCGAGCAACACCGAAACGACATCAGACATACGATGATTCCTGTTAGAGACGACATGGATAATAACAGCACCCTGATGAAAGAAAACGAAGGGTGTCAATACCCCGATCGTCAAAACAGATATTCACACTGCATCAGCATCAATACAACCAACCACACGGCTAATATGCGGTACAAAAAGCATTCCCCTTTTCCCCCATGTAAATAAGAGAAAAAAAAACGAAATAGAAGAAACTTGGCACGGCGTGTGTAAGGCCAACTCACGTCGGCGGCGCCTGTACTTGACTTGATACCTCCGGAAATACGCGCGCGTCTTCGTTACCTTCTGGAACGCCTGCCCATTCATCCGACAGAACGAAGATCAAACGACACAATCAGTGTCTGCGTGACAATTACTCCATTACCCCCAAACCACCGAACATATCTCTAAAACTCTCCACCTACCAACTGGCCTACCTTCTTCGTCCGAATACAACGCACGGTCATTATAGCTGTAGTTAATGAGCTCCTTTTGAGTCCAAATACATATTTGAGTCCAAATACAGATTTGAGTCTGAATACAGATTTGAGTCCAAATACAGGTATAAAGACTATGTTGTATTCGTGGCAGGAAGGTAGCTCAGTTGGTACACCCCTGAACTGTTGAAAAACAGACCTGAGTCCGAACTCAGCACTGAAGTCAGATGACTAAACAATAATCTCAATCTTTAATTACCTAGAGCCGGTTAGTTTGACGATCACATCATAAGGCCGTCGCACTTTTTAAAGGACAATAAAAGGAAGAAAAAAAAAACTCTCCACCTACCTTTCGATCCGAGTAAATTCATTCAAATCCCTACATGACCCTACAGCCACCCATTCATCCACCGAGCTCTCCCTTCGTCCATCCATCCATTCACATCCAGTCGCATGGAAACTGTCAAGCAACATCTTCACCGTTCCTATATATTATAAATTTCCAGTCTATCATATGGAAGACGTCCTTCGCATGTACAAAATGATGCATTCCTCGTCTGCAACCTCCTCTATATCCCTTACCACCACCCCATTCGTCATCGGCATGTCGAGGGTCACTACAAAACTTCAGCACCTTTAACGACACTGGTCACAAAAACCTTGGCTCTCTGTGAACATTTCTCTCAGCCATACCCCTCTCCACACTACACATGAAAACCACCCCCCTTCGATCGCCTTTCAGACCTCGTCATCATTGTTTGTAGAGATGTGGTAACTTCATAATAACAACCCACTCCTGCGAAGCACCCCCAGACCAGACGATGTGTATGCTTACGGGCAAGCGAGGGAGAGGGAATCCGCTGATGAAGAGGAAAAGGGAGATAAGAACATGAAGGGCAGGAGGGAGAGAGAGAGACAGATGAAGAGAGATCCAAAGGGTATGACTGTTCCCCGCTCGTTCAATTCCCTTTCCCCGATTCGCAATCTCCAGAAGAAACCCGCTTCCCTGCAGCTGCCCTAAAGGGATACCTAAATGACCGTCGCACGAGCCCGTCAAGTAGGGTCATCCATGAAGCAGATAGACGGCCGCGTCGACGACAGACTGCACGTGGAGGAGAAGACGGGAAGGACGGGAGAAGGTGGGGGCTGAGAGGCCGAGAGAGTGGTGAAGCCAAGAACAGGAAGGCGGCCATGCTTCATATGTCTCTCCTTCCAATGAAACCCTTTCCTCTCCGCCTCTATTGTCCTCAGCCGACTCGCCAACCAACCCAATCCCCTCCAACCTGGAGTACACTGCCATCCATAGGCCATAGCTGACAGTGAGGCGACCAGAGCAATTCAGCGGCCCAAGAATCGGTGACCCCGTGACGAGTAGAGGGAGTGCAAACAAGGTCGCATTCCGCTCGGCCATGGCCGTCCTCCTCCTGCTATCACCTCATTAGTTGCAATACTCTCCTCCACCACGAGCCTTGGACCTCCCACTCCCTGAGAACCCCGTGTGCCGACACACTCCACAGACATGGCAACCCTAAGGAGAGAGAAAGACTCACCATGGCGACTGGCTGTTTGGCTGGCGAACCGCCTGACTCAACCCACGCTACGGCTGCTGCGCGAGAAAGAGAGCCGCAAAGAGGAAATCCCCGACCTAAGTATTTCCCCCCTTACTTCCCTCGCTGCTTTTCCCTTTCCCCTTCCCTTCCCGATCCTCTCTGACAGACACCTCGACGGCGTCCGAAGGACCAAGGTAGGCGAGCGGTGCACAAAAATGCTACTCCTGCTGCTACTCTGGGCCGAGTGCACCGTGACGGTCCGTCACGGCTTGCGGAAAGCACCGCCGGTGACAATCTCCCTCCCCTCGCTCGCATCCGTGGGGGGGCCCGGTTTACACCCTTAGCAGCGAAAATGTTCTGCCCCACCTTATTCAGACAAGCGAGCCCCGGTTCAGCACGCCGGTTCAGGTTTGACATCGCCTGAGGGAAGTGACACTAATAACTGACATGGTTAGGATACCCCCATCCCCAGATGCATACACCACCCCCTACCCCCTGGCAAGCAGTTGTTCGCCACGAGGGCTGCGCCTACCGGTAGTGCAGGTACGTTCTCACTTAGACTGCGCCTACCGGTAGTGCAGGTACGTTCTCACTTAGAATGCAGGAACCTTGGGGCACATGGACCTCAAAACTCGCTGAGGGAACGTGCCACCTGGGCAAGGGAATGTCCGGTGCCATTGTTTCGCTACGTGAGGGCAAACCTGGAAGCATCAGAACCTGGCCATCTCTATGACCCTGTTTTCCTTAGCACAAAACAAGACACCCGTGGACCTGGCCTTTACACTTGCTCGTATTGGCTAAGGCTTCTCATGTAAGATTATCAAGGCACGGTGAGGTGCACCCCCCATCAAACTAATTGATGTCAATCAAAGTAAACGAGGCAGCATGGTGATTTGCCACTTTTTTTCATATCTCAACCCCAACCCAATATTCAAGCACACTGCACCACCGGAGCCTACTAACCCATTTTAGCCACCTACAACCATTTTCTAATACCACTCACCAGCCCTCTTTTTTTTGGGGGGGGAGGACTACACGAGAGTCACAAAAATGAGTTATAGTTGCACTTCGGACCAAGATACAGTTTCGAATTGCAGTTCGGGCAATGTATATAACCCAGCTTTCTGCCCAGGTAGAGTGCCCAAAGCGCAATCGCAAACTGTATCTTGCCCAGTATGGCAATTATAACTCGTTTTTGTGACTATGCTGAAGTTACCCCTTTCTTTCCTAAATAAAGTAAGCTACATTCTCGCAATTTCACCTCACACTATCTACCTAACAGTACGCCTAATTGTAGTCATACGGGAAACCCCGTAGTCGCAAGAACCACGTTCACAAGAGAACATGCGGGCTGCTCCCGACCTGCAGCTGGGCGATACCAGCCAGTGGACATCCGATAGCATCAGGGACCATGCCAACATGACCAATCTTTGTGCCTCCCCTCAGGTCCCCTCCCCTACGAACATCAGCAGACTTTGCTCAGTGTTGATCGGGGGATCTAGTGCTCTATATCTAGGTGGTGAGCCCCAACCTGGTGAGACACAAGGGCAAGTTGTGACATTGAAGATGTTTGCTACTCAGTTTGTTATGTATTGCTCTTTGCGTGAACGTTTCCCTGGGAAACCTTGAATGACTTTTCTCTTGCCTTGAGACTTTAAATGATTTGTTATTCTCAAACTCTATCCAAACGCTTATGCCTGATGAAATGCACTGAGTAGTTTTTACTTTTATCTTTCTATTGTAGGAATTTTAGTTCTTTTTTTTGTTATTTATCTCACTTTAACCAGTGAAGTGCGCGCTCTGCAAGCGCCCTGAGTAGTTGAGTCAAATTCAACTATACTTGAATGGATGTATGATGATTTTTTATGAGGAAAATGATGACATGATCCTACTCTAGCTGAAACATGTTTGCCGCTATCGGGTACGACCTCACGCTACTCATTAATCGTGAAATCTTTTAGTGAAGTTCATGCAAAGGGTTGGAGGTAATGAAGGTAAGCGATGTTTTTTTTTGCCTATACCTCCACAAGTCAACGACCCTTAACTTTTAAAATATATGAATTAGGTTGGGATTATTAACATTATAGTAGTGGTTCATTGCTCTATTTCAAAAATTAAATTCAAATTATAAATAAAATAAAAATTTAAAGACAAATTCACATTTAAATGTTTAACTAGGAAAACTTGCAATGTAGATAAATTATTATTTTTCTCAACTTAGCATTTGTTAAGTGATTTTATATCATTTTAAATTTTAGGTATCTAGGGTATGAGTGTATGTATTATGTAGTATAACTGCAAATAAATGATTGAGTATATGAATTTGGTTTGCTCGAATGTGTATATATGCTCTGAAATATTAACTTACTAGTGTGCACATGCTTTAATTAAATTGGGGTGTTGCTTAATATATGTGACTTACATTTTTCCGAAAGAGTATGTCCGACCACAATGTTTGTCACCTACTCGTACGTTTAATTTGACAGAAGTCATTGGGTTTGGCCACTGTGTGAGTCGCTCACTTGGGATTATATGACTTACTATTCTTTTGAAGTGTTATACTTAACCGTTGTGTGGGTCACATATTGTTTGTTTACTTTTAATGAATTGGTGGGCTTGATCATTATGTACGTCGCTTAATAAGATGTATGATTTTACCATTTTTTTAAGAGTCATGTTTAACCAGCACGTGAGTAGTTGCTTGTTTAGTTTGATTGAAGTCGTTGGGCTTAACCACTGTGTAGGTCACTAAGTTAGTTATATAATTGACAATTTTATGAAAAGTCAAACTTAACCACTGGGTGGACTGCATGATTGTTGACATACTTTGACTGAAATCATTGGCTTTACCACTTTATAAATCGTTAAGTTGGTTGTATGATTGACTAGTTTTCTTAAGAGTCATGTTTGACTGCTCAGTGAGTCATCCAGTTTCTTGTTTACTTCAACTGATGCCACTAAGGTTGATCATTGTGTGAGTTGCTTAGTTGGCTATATGATTTATATTTCTTATGAAAAATCGGGTTTGACAAAAACCCTTGTGCTTGACGACTTTGTAGGTCGCTTAGTTGGTTGCTTTTTAAGTATTTTTCTCAAGAATCGGACGCGATTACTATGTGAGTCATGTAGTTTACTATTATTTTGATTAAAGTTGTAAGGTTTAACTATAAAATGGGTCGCTCGGTTAGTTGTATGATTAATATTTTTTTTACCTCTATAATATACACCACTTACCAATTACCCAAAGCATATATACAACCTTTCTTATAATGTTCGAGTGTACGATGTAAGCAATAACGCCTTAAGTGTCAAAAAGGATGAAGAGTGTCACCTACCAACTCAGGCTTACCTATGTAAAAAAAATAATATAGTTAGAGAGTTTATGTACTAATAAAATTGATAGTATGATTGGTATATCCACAATATAAAGTTTAAATTGTGTTTGTTGTTGACTAAATGTTTTTTATCGTCATGCAACCCTAATAAAACTTTTGCATTTGGCCCAGATGGTGAAAGGGTATGCGTCTGAACGCATAGCCACTTAGCATTTGGGAGTAAGACCCTTATAACATTTTTTTAACCTCTACTTAAGTATCACATGCAACCTCGTAGCCTATAAGAGGTGTTGCGTTAATTAATATCAAGCAATATATAGCCATAACAATAAACTGTAAGATTTTCTATAATCGAAAATTATGGTACCACTTACTAAACGCCCTCTATATATACGAATCTACGTAATTTATAACTCTCTCCCCCTATATTAACTAAATTATGAGACAAAAAACAACGCTTAAGTCGAAGCATCGTAAGGGTGAATGTCCATCACAATGAGTCAACCTTATGTGTGAGCTGACTTGGGAGATCAATATCTAGAGGCCTAATATATTTATGAGTCACTCTTAAACGTTGTGCCATTAATACACCTTAGCTACACTCGATGATAAATACCCTCGACTGACCTATACTTGACCCGATAAGTAAAAGTGGACACGTGTGGGTAGTAGCTCATCATAAATATGCCTACCTAAGGATGACAATAACTCATTGGGTAAAGTTAACTTATGCCTTGCAAAACTCTGTGTTGTCATATATACCGAAGAAGGATGCACCCGAGACTCATTCCCCGTCGAGCCCCTATCAAGAAGCTTGTAGAACGACTTAAGAAGTATGGATTTGTAAGTTGGCGCACTCATATGGAGTGGTACACACAAACAAAATATTTGCAGATCCTAAGTAACACGACAGGAAAAGTGCCCTATTACATGCTCGTTCGAAGGATCGATGTGCTTTTTAGCGACTTAAGAAAAACGCAAAAAAAAAAAACTTACTCTATTTAAGAGTTATCGTGGATATGAATACATAATCCACACATTTACATTGACAATTATACTAGCGGTATAGTTAGCGCACTCAGCTGAAGTGGTACACGCAAACATAATATTTGCATATCCTAAGTGAGAGGGCAAAAAGAGTCCCCTCTTACATGCGCGTCTGAAGGATCGATGTGCTAAAAAAAAACACAAAAATAAAACTCACTATATTAAGGTTTATAGTAGATAAAAATACACAATCCACATACTTACATTGACTACTATACTAGCGTGCATTTTTATTGAGATAAGCACAATAATAAGTTATTAATGATAATAGTTAAAGTAAGTAAAGCGTCACGATAAATGTTATTCAATATAATATAATGAATAAATTAATCCTTAATCATTTATTAAGATTTGTACGTAATCTTTATTTCGTACATCTTTCAACAATAAAATAAAATTATAAGATAAATAAAAAAATATATATTGAATTGAATTATTATGGGTCTAGGTTCAAAGGAGCGAAGACAGCTGTTGATATACTTTCAACATTAGTACCTTAACTTGTTGTTTTTCCCTTTAACTTTCATAAATGAACCTAATATAATAAGTAACAGAATCAATTTTTGAAACTTTTGTTGTGCACAAACAAGTAAGAACATTGAATATAACATATATCTCACCCTTCCATATAAAATAATTAAAAAAAAATAAGTAAAAAAATTATCCCTCTTTCTCCATAATTTTTTTTTTTTTTTCAAAATATGTTCACCTTATGCTTTCATCTCATAGAGTCCATCAAGGACAAATATCGTATAGTTTTATTTTAAAGTGAAACTAACTGATATTAAGGTTGAATCTATTTTTCTTGACTTTTTACATTTCAGTAAAAACCTCTTTCCGCCAATGAGGATGGTGTTGAAACATTATT